AGAAGACAAACAATACGATTTGTTCACACGGCTGGCGTGTGTGAAGACAAGGGTTGAGAAGACAAACAGTACGACTTGTTCACACGGCCTGCGTAGATGTTCGTATTTAATAACATCAACCTCTGACAATCGTACCGGTTTTAATTATGAGAACTAAAACAGTTCACTCCACTCTCTTTATCTGTTAGAATACCAAACTATCATTACCTGTTGTAATATCACACTAGCTTTACCTGTTATAATATCACACTTTCTTTATCTGTTAGAACACCAAACTATCTTTACCTGTTATAATATCACACATTCTTTACCTGTTATAATACCACACTTTCTTTACCTGTTATAATATCACACATTCTTTACCTGTTATGATATCACACATTCTTTAGCTGTTGGAATACCAAACTATCTTTACCTGCTAGTGTTTCAGATAGAGACCAGTACCCTACTGCGCATGTTGAATACTTTATATGTATTTTACTGCCATTATTTACTGAGTGTAACTTGAACTATTAGGGTACAGAGAAAAAAATGTATAAGTGAATGCCTTGTGTCTGAAATAGTTGTTGTACTATCCCTGAGATACAACAGATACCACACTTTTACTATCACTGAGATACAACAGATACCACACTTTTACTATCACTGAGATACAACAGATATCACACTTTTACTATCACTGAGATACAACAGATACCACACTTTTACTATCCCTGAGATACAACAGATATCACACTTTTACTATCACTGAGATACAACAGATACCACACTTTTACTATCCCTGAGATACAACAGATATCACACTTTTACTATCACTGAGATACAACAGATACCACACTTTTACTATCACTGAGATACAACACATATCACACTTTTACTATCACTGAGATACAACAGATATCACACTTTTATTGTATCTCAGTGATAGTAAAAGTGTGATATCTGTTGTATCTCAGTGATAGTAAAAGTGTGATATCTTTTGTATCTCAGTGATAGTAAAAGTGTGGTATTTTTGTATCTCAGTGATAGTAAAAGTGTGGTATCTGTTGTATCTCAGTGATAGTAAAAGTGTGGTATCTGTTGTTTCTCAGTGATAGTAAAAGTGTGGTATCTGTTGTATCTCAGTGATAGCGTTGTTATTCAGGTGTCAGGGTGTCAAGAACACTGTAACGTTGTTATTCAGGTATTAGGTTGTCCAAGAACATTGTGATAGTAAAAGTGTGGTATCTGTTGTATCTCAGTGATAGTAAAAGTGTGGTATCTGTTGTATCTCAGTGATAGTAAAAGTGTGGTATCTGTTGTATCTCAGTGATAGTAAAAGTGTGGTATCTGTTGTATCTCAGTGATAGTAAAAGTGTGGTATCTGTTGTATCTCAGGGATTGTAAAAAGTGTGGTATCTGGTAATGTTGTTATTCAGGTATCAGGTTGTCCAAGAACACTGTAATGTTGTTATTCAGGTATCAGGGTGTCAAGAACACTGTAAAGGTTGTCCAAGAACATTGTAACGTTGATATTCAGGTATCAGGTTGTCCAAGAACACTGTAACATTGTTATTCAGGTATCAGGTTGATCAAGAACACTGTAACGCTGTTATTCAGGTATTCGGTTTTCCAAGAACACTGTAACATTGTTATTCAGGTATCAGGTTGTCAATAACACTGTAACGTTGTTATTCAGGTATTAAGTTGTCCAAGAACACTGTAACATTGTTATTCAGGTATCAGGTTGTCAATAACACTGTAACGTTGTTATTCAGGTATTAAGTTGTCCAAGAACACTGTAACGTTGTTATTCAGGTATCAGGTTGTCAAAAACGCTGTAATGTTGTTATTCAGGTATCAGGTTGTCAAAAACACTGCAATGTTGTTATTCATGTATTCGGTTGTCCAAGAACACTGTAACGTTGATATTCAGGTATCAGGTTGTCCAAGAACACTGTAACGTTGATATTCAGGTATCAGGTTGTTCAAGAACAATGTAACGTTGTTATACAAATATTAGGTTGTCCAGGAACACTGTAACGTTGTTATTCAGGTATCAGGTTGTCCAAGAACACTGTAACGTTGTTATTCAGGTATCAGATTGTCAAGAACATTAACACCCTGATACCTGAATAACAACGTTACAGTGTTATTGGACAACCGAATACCTGAATAACAGCGTTACAGTGTTCTTGATCAACCTGATACCTGAATAACAATGTTACAGTGTTCCTAGACAACCTAATACCTGAATAACAACGTTACAGTGTTA